TATGTTTTATATATTTCTTTTGTAATTCATTTTTCAGTCACTTCTTATTTGGCCAGTCAATATGACCAAATCAATTTAACATGAGTCCTTCGGGAGAAGGGCGGTATATAAATTTAATAAAACTAAACTTTAATAAACTAAACATACTAGTTTCTCATTCTTGTATTTAATCTGTATTCAATCAGCACTCATTTATTTTTGAATCAATCTCATATTGAATTACCACACAAAGTACTTTTATCCTGTTCCCACTCCATCCAAATTCCTCCTGTTTCTCCTGAAATATTTAGCTCTTGCTTTCATACAACAAATTAAACATAAACACACAGTTATATACATTTTAACTTTTTTGACAAACATATTCTTTGTAATAGACCACATAGTACCACTATCTTTTTGCCACCATTTGGACATCTTAAAATCTCTCCATCCATTTTTTTTTTCAGATTTACAGATTGACTCAGTCTTCCATCTTTCCACACGACCCAATTTGTTGAGGGCAATATGCTGACTCTGTAAACCGCTCCTACTACAGTCTCCTATTTTTTAGGCCAGTTCCTTTAACCATTACACCAAATAGGCTCTCATTTTTAGAATTAGATTCTAAATTTAAAGTTTAGAATATCTTGACTATCTATGGATCCCCATGATTTGGGGAGTATGACCTGATCTGGGCACGAAATATTTCAGCTCAGGGAATGAAGCTTTTCCAACCATTCAGTGTCTGATAGATGGATTCTATGTTCTAGGCAATTTAATTTTTATGTCTTAGACAACATAGAACTGTCATGTATAATGGAACTCAAAAGATGGGCTAAGGGTAGGTTAAGTTCCATAAGCAATCTGTCTGTTGGAGATACATAAAAACAGGTCCTGGTCATCCAATCTGGAAATGGAGATCAGGAATTCAGTTCAAAGAAAGACCACATGCAGACAGCAGGGTACTCAAAGATACCACCAGTAGTTTGGGTTGAAAAGTAATCAGTGTATCTTGGACCCAATGTATTTTCAAGATTATTAAGCATCTAGCTATGGTATGGAATCTTTTAATAACCAAGAGTATTGATTGTTTCTCTTCCCATTATCAAATCATATCCTACATGATCAAAGTTACTGCATGCATTTTTCTCCACTTATGGAAAGATTTCATCCAGAGACTTAAAGATCAGTTATTATTCTGATTGATCCAAAGGATCTGAAGGATTTATTTGCAGAATTTGCTGGTTGAGTTTTATTCCTAAACTGGGAAAGGAGAAGGATTTGGGGGAATAAGATTGAGAAAGACTCACATATGACAATTGCTGCTAGATGGAGAAAGTAATATTGGGAAAGATACATCAAATGTTAGTTTAGAAAACAATTTCACATTCTTTCCTATCTTGGTATACAGAATAAATTCCAAAATATCAACATAATTACTGTTATAGACTTTCTCTATAACTTGATCGATGAATGTTTTTTTTTTTCTGTAGGGAAATTTGGATTTGCATGCAGAGAGGAAAAGTTACATTGTTTCTAAATTAAACCAGTATAAAGGCATTTTACAGCAATGGTAGTTTTCATTGTTTTTTAATGCAATACAATTCAGATTCAACTGTTCTTTCTGATGGGTTTTCTGAAAACCAGTTCAGTGCTGCATAGAAAGCTCTGGCTCTGGTATCCATGCTATGACAATGTGGATGTGTGAAGACTTGAAAAAACAACCCCAGCATGCTCCCTGATTCTCTGCCAAAATTAGCTTATCCCTCAGGATTGGCTGAACAAAGAAAGTGACCTTTTTGCAGATGCCGGTGTAGAAGCTACGTAGGAAGTTGTGTATGCTGACACAGTTGAGATGGCAGAGATGCCTGGAGTGTATACTATGTGAGCTGAAAATACACTATATGAGAAACCCCCTGCCTATAGATTTCCCAGACAAGACAGTTGCCCAGCTAACTACAGGATGAGTCTGTTCAGGCTGTGACAGCTGCAGGAAACTGTGATGTAGCCTTTGACCACTGTTGACTCGAATGTCAAGTTTTTCCTTCAAGGTGCCATGTATACAGGGAAAATGGATCTTCCCTTCCATAGCCCTAAATTATCTCTGCTGAAATTGATGCAAGCAATAATACAGTTTTAGATTCAACGGGATAGTCTGGGCATTATTTACTTCAGTTTTGTCACTTTATCGTCATATTCATCCAGACAATGTTGATATCTGAAGCAATAACTTCAACAGATTCACAACTCCGTCGGACTGTTTGTACCACTATGTGTCTCTTTCAGTTCACCCTTTTGCAGATGTTGCATCCTTTTGAAGTAATTTGGTGGGTGGATTTGCCAGGTGTAGGGAGACATAGCTTCAGAGTTTCCATCTTCCAGGCTTTTCCCTCTCAACATTTTGTTTGTCCTGGGAGGGCCTGTCTTTTGAGATGCTGGTGGCTGTTTGACTCAGACAGATTGTGCCACAGAATGTTTCCTACTCCCTCTACTTGATGGAATCAATGTCAGCTACGTCAGTGTTTTGAAATCCAAAATGAGGAAAAACAGTATCATTGGCAAAAAAATGTTATAGCTTAGCATCAATGGTTAATTGCATGTGTAATAGCCAGTCAAATCCAAGGCTAGAGCCAATCCAACTAAAAGTTAGGCCTCTTTCTGGGATAGGCTGGGGATGATGGTCTGGGAATGATCTTTGCTAGGGGAGTCTGAATGAAGATCAGTTTTGATCTTCGGGTCCATGGGGTAGGACATTCCTATGTGGTGGCCATAATATTTCAATTTGTTTCTTTCCCTAGGATCAATTAAATAAAATTAATTAAATCCCCCAGCATTAAATAATCTGATCTTGATTGCTGTGTTTATGGTAGACATGGTCCATACTGAGCACATTTATGAGAAGACAGCAGTTGCTTTACCTATTCAGTATTTCCAACTGCTTCTGTTCCCCCATCTGTATCCATGATGCAAGTATCCAAGGTACTTAAATTGCTCCACAGATTTTAAGGTCTGTCCTCTTGATGTTGTCGGAGTGTTCTCTTGAACATTGCCAACTTACATCAGCTTCTCTTCACTAATTTTTAAGGCCACTTTACTTGCCTCTGCTTTAGATCCCAGTGACATATCTTTCAGCTGTGCCTTAGGTTTTCAGGTAATTTAATTATTTTATTAAGTATTTAATATAGACTTATACAATTGACTGCTAAATTCTTCTTAGGATCTCTACAGATATACATGATATAGCCTTCAACCCCCCCAAAAGCTAAACATAGTCCTAGCAATCAAAAACAAGATACTCTGAAATAAAACAGCATACTCTTTGTATTTTGGCATAGATATATTCTACCTCAGTCAGAATTTGAACAAAATATTCAGGTTACTATTTGGATATATAAGTTATAAGATTCAGTAGATTTTGGACTATTTGGAAAAGAGCTGATTATATCTGGTGTGATCAATGGATGATGAAATGAACTGTTTCAGGCTATGCTAAAAGCTAGAGGAAGCAAAGTATTCCTAGAATATTCTAGTGTTTTTGAGGATGAGCTGGAATTCCATAATTCAAGTTTCTATAATTTGCGTCATAGTCAGCATAAGAAATGATATAAGAGATCCACATTACCACCCAACTGGAGGCTTAGAATGAAGGTCTTAGTAGATCTTGTTTGATATGTCTCAACATGATGCTACATCTTTTGGAAATTGCATCATTCTATGATAACATGGTAAAAATATCTTGGTGATCTAAGTCACTCCATTTCTGCAAACAATCAAGACAGAGCTGATCTCCTTTAGCTGTTTGCTTTGATACACACATACATACACACACACACACACACACACACACACACACGCACACACACCACTTTTAGTTATTACAATAAAACACTTTGTCTTCTTCACTGAGAAAATTATAATTATGGGAATTCATTACAGACCTCTTGAAGGAGGAGAAGATATAGATGAGGTCCTTCTGCATCAGATGAATACTTTAGAAGATGCATGCAGTAATAATAATGGTAGTTTTCAATTATTGTATTCTGACATCTGCTGAAAACATAACTCTAGCAAGATTCAGAAGTCTAAAAAATATTGTTCTCAGTCAAAGGCACTATTTGTCAAAAGGCAGAAATAAGTATAACAAGTCTGCTATTCTAGACTTAATTCTTACCCAATGCCAGTTCAAGAGATATGGCACCCATGGGCCACATTGACTTATGACATCATAAGTCAATATGACCATTTGCATTTTTACAATGATTTAGAAGGAGGAATGACATTGGCACTCCCGAAGCATTGGCACCCTGGGCCAGACTATTTAGCCTTAGCTAAAAGCTAGCTCTGTTCTCATTTGGCTAAGAAAGTGAACATGATTGCCATCTTGGGAAGAAATGATTATGTCTTTGAATTTCTGATATTCTGAGGAAGAAAAACTTAGAAGAATCAGACTTGTATATTGGAGATGTATTTTTGAGCTGGGTTTAATGAACTCTATGGGAAGGTACATCAGATTCATGGGTTGATATCTTGAAGGAAGAAAATATTCAGGAAAGATGGGAGGCCAATGCTCTCTAAAGTGCTAAAGAGAGAAAGAAAAGAAAATACATATATTGGAAATTGAATGAGGGGCACAATCAATGAAAAATGCCAGCTAGTATCCAGAATTTGTAGCAATTCTGTCAAAAAACCCCTAATGCTCAGAATGAGTTGAGGCTTGTGACATTCAAAAATAACAAAATATAGTCCTTTGGGTATGTTGAAAACAAAAGAAAAATAAAAGATATTGCAGGTTCATTGTGAAGAAAATGTAATGCAGGGATGTCAAACTCGCGTTGTCATGTTGTTGCCACGTGCTGTATCACGACTTTTTCCCCCTTTGCTAAAATGGGGGGCGTGGCCAGCATGTGATGCATCTGGCTCATGGGCCGCGAGTTTGACACCTCTGATGTAGTGAATTGATAATGGGTTAGGGTGAAAAGGCAAAACCTCTTAATTCCTAATTTGCATTTGTCTTCTCTCAGAAGAGAAATAGATCCCTGGCTGATCCTGTCACTGGGAGAAGAAGAGAGCTGCCGATTAGGAAAGACAAGGAGATGGTAAGAGAGGTGTAGCTAATTTAAATGAATTCAAGTCCCAAGTTATGCTGGAATAATCTTATATTATTTTATAGAGTAACTAGTTTAACAGAGAACAGGACCAAAACCAGTGGGTTAAAAACCCAAGGAAGGAGATTTTGGATGAACTTTCAGACTGTATAAATTGTCATCAGTGCATGAATTTATCATGTAGTGAGTTCTCCTTTGGTAGAAATCTTCAAACAAAGGCTGGAGAGTTGTATGTTGGAGATGAATCACTAGAGTAGGAGATTAGAAAAGAGAAACTCTTTGGTGACTTTGAGCAAAATGATTCTACTTTGGTATTTTGGAGAACTGGCTCAAAGTATTAAATCTTTGTGTAAGGAAAGCACCTTTTCAAATGTATGCATTGTTTTAATATGAAATAGCAATATATTCAGGGAATCAATCAAGTTTAGCTCTCCCAAAAGTCATGAATGGACAATCTATTGCAGTATTTCAGCAAAAATAAGAGCCGAGGTGGCGCAGTGGTTAAAGTGCAGCACTGCAGGCTACTTCAGCTGACTGCTAGCTGCAGTTCGGCAGTTCAAATCTCACTGGCTCAAGGTGAACTCATCCTTCCATCCTTCCGAGGTTGGTAAAATGGACCCTGATTGTTGGGGCCAATAGGCTGACTCTGTAAACTGCTTAGAGAGGGCTGTAAAAGCACTATGAAGCGGTATATAAATCTAAATGCTATTGCTAAAAATGGAATGGAGTTCCATCTCACCAGGCTCAAGGTTGACTCAGCCTTCCATCCTTTCGAGGTAGGTAGAATGAGGACCCGGATTGTGGGGGCAATAAGCTGACTTTGTATAAAAAAGAACACCGCTTGGGGGGGGGGGCGAAAGCCCTACTAAGCAGGTATATACAAAAGTATGAAGGCTATTGCTTAATGCAGTGTAAGCTGCCCTGAGTCTCCGGAGAAGGGCGGCGTATAAATTGAACCAATAAATAAATAAATAAATAAACTTTGTGGTACAGAGCCATTCAGGTTCTGCTCATCCCTTGTTTAAATGCTTCAGTTGGAAACTCAACTCAGTTACATTCAAAAGTTCATAATCTCACAAAGACGGGGATCAGACATTGAGGCTGATATCCTTTTGCAAAGCAAATTTGATAGCATACTATAAATAATAACAAATAAACATTGGGCTTTTAGTCTTGACAGCTTGCCTTGACACATCTCTCCCCTCCAAACACCCTGGAACTTGGGGAAAGGGAGAAGAATTTTTTTGAGGGGGAGGACATTTATTTCAAAGTTAAGTGATGAGGATGTCCTTGAACGGAACAGCAGGAGAAACAGCAAGCAAAGGAAAGAGAGAGAGAGAGAAAGTTAGAGATACTGATTCTGGACACTTCATACCATAATAACTGACAGCTTGGTGGCTCCTCCTAAACACTAGCAGACAAGCAAGACAGTTTTCACAGAATCCCCATGGAGTTCTTTGTGAATTTTAAAAACATTTTTTCTCTTATCTGCTTGCTGCCAGAGAAGTAATGCAGTCCTTGATTGATGCCCAGCAGAACCAAGGGAGGGAAGGAGGGAGAGAAGAAAATATCTGACAAAGGTCAAAGAAGAAGTTGCTTTTTTTTTTTTTAATTTTTATTAATTTAAGAAACCACATAATACATTTATAAATGCAAGTAAAACAATTTACAACAAACATCATCTTTATAACATCTACCTATAATATCTGAATTGTTACAATATCAATATCCTATATTCTTCAATATACAATATTTCTCTCACCTTATATAATGATATTATTTTATTGATATCTCGTGTCTCTTTCTTAAATTTCATTTGATTTAAAACTTTATTTTACTCTATTGATATCTTTTCTTTTCTTCAATTTCTCTTTCTTTCTTCTTCTCTTCTTTTTTCACTTCCCTCTAACCATTTATACCATTTTTGCCAGACTAAATAATATTCAGATTCTTCTTTTCCTTGGATCTCCTTGGTAAGTTTATCCATCTCAGCGCATTCCATAATTTTGGATATTAATTTCTCTTGAGTCGGGACCTCTTCTTGTTTCCAATTTTGTGCGTATATAATTCTTGCTGCAGTCAAAATGTGTGTTATTAAATATATTATTTCTTTTTCATATTTGCTTGTAGGTATTCCTAATAAATAAGTTTCTGGCTTTAATGGCACCTTTTGAGTTATTATTTGTTCTAGTTGCATTTTTATATTGTTCCAGAATTTTTTAGCTTTGGAACATGACCACCATATATGATAATATGTCCCTTTATGCGCTTTACATTTCCAACAGAGTGGAGATGTGCCAGGAAACATTTTAGAAATTCGCGCCGGTGGTAGATGCCACCTATAGAACAATTTATAAGCATTTTCTTTGTATGGTACAGATAATGTTAATTTATTAATATTTTTCCACAAATTTTCCCACTTATTTAATTCTATTGCATACCCAAAATTCGTCGCCCATGTGATCATATTCTCTTTAACTACTTCCTCTGCTAGTTTATATTCCAATAGAAAATTATAAATTTTGGTTATTAATTTCTCATTGGGGCCTAATAAAATTTTATCCAACTGATTTGGTTCCATTTGAATTCCAGTTTTTTCCATATCAGATTTATATCTGGATTTTAATTGCAAATATGACCACCACTCTATTTCCACATTTTGCATTCTCAATTCTTCTCTTGTTTTTAGTTTTCCTTCTTCATTTAAGATGTCCTTATATGTTTTTAATTTATTTGTATCTATTGTATTTGGATAAATATGTGCTTCCATTATGGAAGTCCACCTAGGAATCCTATCATAGTGATATTTTCTGATTTCATTCCATATTTTAAGCAAATTATCTCTTACAATATGTTTGCGAAATTGTTCTTGTTTTGTAATTTTCTCTCCCCAAAGATATGCATGCCAACCTCTTGTTAAGTCAAAACCTTCCAATATTAATGTTCTTATGTTTTTGAGTTCGATCCAATCTTTTATCCATATTAACGCTGAGGCTTTGTAATAACTCTGCCAATCAGGGAGTCCCATTCCCCCTCTCTCTCTTTTGTCTTGTAGATGTTTTAATTTGATTCTTGCTTTTTTCCCCTGCCAAATAAATTTTAATATCATTCTGTCTAAATCTTTAAAATATGTTCTTCCTGGGTTTACTGGTATTACCCTAAATAAGTATAACACTCTTGGCAGAATATTCATTTTAATGGTAGCAATTTTGCCTAAAAGAGACAATTGGAGTTTTGCCCATTTTTCCAAATCCTTTTCTATTTGTTTAGCCAATTTAATATAATTGTCTTCCTTCAAAGTTGATATTTTGTTTGTAATCCATATTCCTAAGTATTTAACTTTCTTTGCTATTTGTATCCCTAATATATTTTCCAATTCTTCTTTTTGATACTTGTTAAGATTCTTTGTTATAATTTTAGTTTTTTGTTTATTAATTTTCAATCCCGCTACTTCTCCATATTGTTGTACTTTTATCATTAATTTTGGTCCAGATTGTATGGGTTTATCTAAAATGAATACTATATCATCTGCAAAGGCTTGCAGTTTATATTCTTGATTTTTTATTTTTAGTCCAGTTATTTCTGTATCTTTCCTGATTTCTTCTAGTAATATTTCCAATGTTAATATAAACAGTATAGGAGATAATGGGCATCCTTGTCTCACTCCTTTCTTTATATCAAATTGTTCAGTTGTATCGCCATTAATTTGTATTTTTGCTGTTTGGGTGTTGTATATCTTTTTAATCATTTTTATAAATCTTTCTCCAAATTTCATTTTTTCTAATTGTGCTAATAGAAATGTCCAGTTGAGATTATCAAACGCTTTTTGCGCATCTAGGAAAATTAGAGCTAACTGGTTTTCCGATCTTTGCTCATAGAATTCCAGAGTGTCAATAATTGTTCTTGTATTGTTATGAATTTGTCTTCCAGGAATAAAACCATTTTGATCAGGATGTATATAGTATTTGACTAGGTTTTTCAATCTCTGTGTTATAATTGATGTGAATAGTTTATAATCTACATTGAGAAGAGAAATTGGTCTATAACTTTTAATTTCCGTGGGATCCGAATCTTGTTTTGGTATTAATGTGATTATTGTTTCATTCCATGACTTCGGAATTTCAGCTTCCATTAATGCATCATTGAAAACTTGTATTAATATATCATCTAATGGTTGTTGGAATGTCTTATAAAACTCTGCCGGTATACCGTCTGTTCCCGGTGTCTTGTTATTTTTTTGTTTCTTTCTTGCTTCTATTAATTCTAACATTGAGATTGGTCTGTTCAATAATTCTATATGTTCTTCTTCTAATTCTTGAATCTTTATTTTATTTAAATATTCTATGATATTTTCTTCTCTAATCTCTTCCTTTGCGTATAAGTTTTTGAAAAATTCCTTTGCAATTCGTTTTTTGTCTTCAATATTCTGGTATAAACAACCATCTACATCTTTTAACTGTATTATAATATTCCTCTGTTTTTCTATTTTCAATTTATATGCTAACCACCGTCCAGTTTTGTTTGCATGTTCAAATTGGTTTTGTTTAGCGATTTTTATTTTTCTTGCTATTTCTGTTGTTGTGATCAAATTTAATTTATGCCTTGTTAAATTTATTTTCTCCTTAATTTCTTGATTATATGGCTGTTTCTGTAGATCTAATTCATATTGATGTAATATTGTCTGTAAATTTTGTTTTATTTGTTGTTTGTTTTTTATTTTTTTGTGCAGTATAGGCAATTGTTAAGCCTCTGATATATGCCTTGGTTGTGTCCCATAGATTTTGTAGACTGGTGTGCTCTTTCACATTAATTTGTAGAAATATTTTCAATTCTTTTTGGATCATATCCACATATTGTTTGTCATTTATAATATCTCTATCCATCATCCATCTTTTACGCTTTTGGTGTCCCTTCCATGTTATTTCAATGGGGCTATGATCAGCCCATGTGTTTGTTGTAATTTCTATTTGTTTAATGTCTGCTATAAGCTCTGCTGTCATCCAAGCCATGTCAATTCTGGACCACAATTGATGTGGATTTGAATAGAATGTGTATTGTTGTTTATCATAATTGAGTTCCCTCCAAGCATCTTGTAATTGAAATTCTTCTACTATATCATAAAATGTTTCTGGAAGTGTTTTTTTCCTGGATTTATTATGTTTACAACTCCTATAGTCCTTCTCTATGTTTACAATTGCATTAAAATCTCCAATTATGCATATGTTTTGGTATTCCAATTCCTTAATTTTGTTGTGCATCTTTTTAAAATAATCAATTTGGGTTCCATTTGGTGCATAAAGTGATACTAGTAATATCTTCTTCTTTTCTGTTTCAATTTCAACCATCAGCATCCTACCCTCCTCATCTGCAAATAATTGCTTTGATTGTATATGATTCCGGATGTACATTGCTATACCTCTCTTTTTTTGTTCTGTTAGTGCCGTATAAAGTTTTCCTAATCTTTTGTTCTCTAATAAACTGCGTTGTTGTTTTTTAATATGAACTTCTTGTAATGTTATAATATCTATCTTCAATTTTTGTAAATTTCTAAAAGTACGTGATCTCTTTGATGGAATGTTTAGTCCATTTATGTTAATCGATATCAATTTTAAATCTTTCTCCATTTCAAATTTCTATTTTCTTGATGTTCTTATTTTCCTAGTGTCTTTTTTTTTCCTGTAATTTGTATTTTATCCCTTGCTCCTTCTCTTTCCATTCTTTCTTTCTCCCCTCTTTTTCTTTCTTCTTGCTGTATTTTTCTCGGTTTGTTCTCCTGATTTGCAATTTCTTGCTGTGGTTCAGATTCTTGTTCTTCCTCAGGAAAAAAGTTGCTATCAAAAAATTGCTGTGCTTTCTCTAGTGTATCAAGTTTATATTTTTTATCTTGCCATGAAACAAGCAGTCCCTCTGGCGTTAACCACCGGAACATTATTTTATGTTTGTGTAATTCTGTTGTCAGAAAGTTATAATTTTTCCTTGTTTCTCTTATTCTTCTTGGTATTTGTTTTAATGTAATTATTTCTTTTCCCTTATATATAATTGGTTTTTCTCTCATTTTTTTGTATATTTCCTCTTTCACCAACTTCCTTACAAATCTAATATGAACCTCTTTTGGTAACCTGTTTCTTCGGGTGTAATTTGTGAATACTCTATAAATTTCATCAATTTCCTTATTAATTTCTTCTTTATTCTTTAACGTTGCTTCAGCCAGAATTCCCACCATTACATCTCTCAAATCTTCCTCTCTGTTTTCCACTATATTTTGAAATCTTAGGTAAAATAACGCCTTTTCCATTTCTAAAAATGAAATTGAATCTTCCAGTTCTTTGTTTATTGTTGTTTGAGCACATTCTGACTCTTCTATCTTTTTTTCTACTTTGCCCATCTTATCTTCAATATTTTGGATCCTTTGTTCATTTTTAGCAATATTTTGTTGAATTTTCTCCATCTTATTATCCATTTTTTTAAGATTATCTTTAATTTCACCTATGTCCATTTTCAAATCCTCATGGTTTTTCCTACTTTCTTGATGGTTATCAGCAATTGATTCCTGTGTTTTGTTCATAGTCTCTTGTA